TATATGATGAAACTGAAACATTTAATGTTAACCAAAATAACCAAAAGGTAAGCTTCATTATGAGAACCAACCAATAAACATAAACAACAGCATAAAAAACCAAAAAACAACAAAATGTAACCAGAAAAAAAAAGTATTAACCAAACCAGAAAACCATCTTTGGCACTAAAATGGTGTCTTTGCCTGTGAGTTTAATAAAAACGACATTAAAGTTAAAATTAATCCATTCCTTACTCAATTTACCAAAATCCAACTTTTTTGGGTCAGTTAATTGAGATTGAAGTTTTAAACAGAGAAAACCATCAAAATCCTCACATTAGAAAACCTGCAACCACAAAAGTTTGGGGCATTTTTGCATAAAAATGGCATCAAAGTTTGGGTCCCAAGAAGAGTCGGTCTGTTAGGGAAATAATATGTAATCAGATTACTGTTATATTTAGTAAGAATGGAGATTATTTAACACTTTATAATCAGTTTTTACTTAAAAATACACAGCAAAAGACACATTTTAGTGCTAAAGATGTTTCTGTTTGGTTATATAACCTTTTTATTTTCCTCTTGTTAGCATTTGTATGTTTTTATGTTTGTTTATGTCTGTTTGTTTATGTTTATTTGTTTGTTTGGGATATATTTGTATATAAACAAAGCTTTACTTGCTTACTTGAATTGTTCTGTTGTCTTATAGAATACACTTGCATCAATACTTCTTATTGACTTTTCTTTTCTCTTGTTTTTATTTGCATATTTGGTGTTGAGGGAATCCAAAAGTAACATAAAACAATCAAGTTACGTTACTTTAATATTGTGATACTTGGATTATGTTACTGACTGCATTTTTTAACAGGTAATTAGTAATTGTATCGGATTACATTTTTAAAATAACCCTGCGTATTAAGTATTGTCTATAAACTATTGTCATACAAATACAAGTAATATGGGCTAAAGGTACTTGCAAAAGTGGTTAAATTGACAGATATATATTGTGACAAACCCAATAAATACAGAGATGATACACCTGAACTCTGAATTCCCCTGCATGTCTGAAATGCGAAAATCTTGATGCATTGAGGAAATACAAAGTACAGAAGTACAATAGGTGGAAAAATCACATTTTTAGGTCCAACACTAACCAGGATTTGCTATAACTCTGCAGCAATGTATGATCTGTAACTGTAGCAGGTATGGTCAGTGGTCTACATTAAGAAATGTATGACATTAAAATGACCATAAATGGCTTGTCTGTGGTCAATTAAGTAAAAGTGTCTCTGCCACAGCAAAATGGCTAAAAATAGGCAGCAGAATGATCCCTGTCATTTTACATTACATATACTACCGATCATTCGATCACTGATTAATCCTAAAACCATTTTTATTCCCTAATCCTTATTATGTCTTCAAATGTTTTGTCTCACCAACAGTCTAAAACCATAAAATGTTCAGTTTCCAATCATATAAAACAGAGAAAACTGTCAAATCCTCAAATTGATTTTGATTTCTGATATTTTTATTATCATCATCAGGAAACAAGAACTTTGTGACACAAATGAAGAGTAAAGAAAGAGAGCGGAGCCGATGGTGTTGCTGTACAAGGAGAGGACATTTATTGTAGAATTTTCCAACATCACAGATGTGTGTTACCAGATTGAGGTCGTCTTTTTTGACTGATTCCAGTGATTCAAACGAGGTGAAAACATACACTCACATGCATATCACACACCTGTGCACACACCTGCTCACCTACACACTCAAACACACACACACACACACTCACAGGCTGACAGCCGTACATACGTTCACAGTCTTGATACGTACAAAAATTGAAATACAAATACAAATAATACCACAATAAAAACATTGTATTTTTTTTTTAGAAATTCTTATAGCTATGTTCTCTATTCTGTAGAAAGACAACTAAGCCTTAATAAGTGAACATTATTTTTTTGTCTTTCTCTAAAATGATCAGTGAGATATCATCATAACGAAAATTCTTACAGTATATATATCTTTTTATCTATGGTTTCTCCAACTGACCCTGCCTCCTGACCTTTATTCACAGGGTGTTGATTAATGCTAACATCCTGCACATGTAAAAGGCTTCAGCTGGCCTCAAAGCGGCATCGCTTACACCTCGTCGCATCCCTTAAAAGTCAACGAACAACAAAAGAAATATCAAGTAAAAGATGAACCACTTTCCTCTCTCACAGCCTGATCACAGTCCCACAAACATCTGCATTTATGGAGATCATCGTCAAAGTGTCAACCCCGCAATGCTGAGCCCCGTCCTGCTCGCTCTTTGTAAGCTGCTCCGGGGGTGAGCGCCAACAAAATGCCTAAAATATAGATTTAATGGTAATTGTATAATCCTCCAGCGTACGCATCCTTTGACGTATCCGACTGTTACTCATGAGATAAAAGCCCAGAGGCTAAGCTAAGTTTAAACTTTCAATTTACAGCTCAGCGTTGTGAGAAAAATGCTTTAGGGCTCATGTAGAAAGTTTAAGTCTGAGCGTCCGACCTTCTGCAGCCCCAACAGTCAGTGTATTGCCTTAAACTTACGATTCATAACAAGTGACGACAGGTCAAACATGTATGTCACCATGCAAAACGCACAACTAAATAAACAGTGATGGACTACAGAGAAAAAGAGTAAACTTGGAGTGTTAAACCAAACTTTTGTGTAAGTCTTTGCTCAGCTCGTTGGTTGGAATAAAACCCCTCCCATATGAGAGAAACTACAGATTGGACAGATTTACAGAGGTATGACAAATAAAATTTAAAAAAAAAGCAAGACTGTTGTTTTTTTCTTCAGAGTTTTCACCTGCTTTGCGAAGTCTGTCCTTTAACATCAAAGTGAGTATTTACACAGGTGCAGTGTACACAGAACAGCAGGGACAGAAAAAAGTGGAGGGAACAAAGGGCAGCAAAAGTAGAAACTTTGAGAAGTTGGCAACTACTCTACGCCAAGTTCTTCTTGTGAGAAATGATGTGAAGATTTTTGTTATTGTGTTGCTGTTGCAGCAATATTACAATATCTACAACCTTCCTTCCCCTACCAGAAATACACCAGGACAAAGTAGCCACAGTAGCTGAAACCAACTGTGCAGCATCCTCAATGACGCGTGTGAAATCTCTCCTTTCCCCTGTGACACTAACTGCTTGCTTGTAGTATTTTTCTCTCCTAATGGGGAAGGTGTTTCAGCAGCAGCACTCAGAATGAGTGTTCACACTGTGAGCGGCACCGTCACACATAGAGTAATGATCAGGGAAGGCCACGGCTGAACTTTACAGGGTTTCAGATTCCAGCGTAGCCGCCCTCTGATCGTCACGTCTGACGGTGCAAAGAAGACACTCTTCTGTTTTTTTGCTACAAGATATTAGTCTATAAAACATTGAGATTCAGTCGGATCACTATCAAGAGGTTATTTTAATGATAACAACGACAAACGCCGTCACATATATTACTTGGATCCAACATTTGGTCTGTGGTTCAGTGGTTAAAGGCTGATTGTCCACACTTAGCCGGCTAATTTAGAAAACTCTGAAAATTAGATTTGTCCCCTTTAGGTGTTTTTTCATACTTTAATGCCTGAACAATAGGAACATGTTGCTTTAAAGCGCCTATATACTGCGCAATAACGTGACAAATTCAGTTAACCAATGATTTAATTGATAAGTAGCGGGGAAGGGGTAGAAATAAATAAGTGTATACTTCCTCCTAGTCCTTTTTTGATGTGTGTTGTTCATTCCATTTTAATGTTATCTTATCCTGTTTTCTATCTTTTTTCTTTTACATGTTTGAAATAAATACAATCAAACTTGGTCACAATCTGTGTCCGACTGTACGATATCAGCTCGGAGGTGTGTCAGATTGTGTGTGATGTGGAAAATGTGGTCGTCGACACTTCTACGCACTGGAAAACATCAAAAAAGGGGTTCAGAAATTTCCTGTTTCTTCCCGTCAACTTTTGTCTAGGACACTGGTCCTCAAACTACAGTAGTACAGTGTCAAAATACTACAACATTTGGAGGTGGTACGTGTTGTAAAAAGTTTGAGCGTCTGGGCAGGCTGAAGTTGTTTTACAAAAGCTCACTCTCGCTCGTGCACAGTAAAAAAGAGGTTATCGGTTTTTTCACGTTGTTTCCAAAAAGCTTTGTCTGGACGCAACGCCAAACTGGAGGGAAAAACCTTTAGCCGGCTTAGTGTGGATGTACTGAGTTGCCCAGAGTGACTTTTACGTCTCAAAAAACATCCACTATTTGGGTCGAGGACAAGCTCAAGTTTTCTTTTCCTATTGATGCTACCTCGTGTTCACTCACTACAGCACAGCGCAGTAAAATATGTCTGATTTGCTGCAGTAAACGCAGTCAGAACACTTCCACCAACAAGCAGACACAGATCGTACTCGCAGTGTGAACACTCTGTAAGAAATCATTAATGTGCTACACAGAGAACTTCTCTACAGCTCCCCATTCAACCAAATAAGGACATCAAAGGCTACTCGGCATGATGTCAGTGTCCTTTTAAAATTTCCATCAGCCCAATCGAACAGTCCACAGGGAAGGCGAAGGCATCGTCCACAGTCAGTATGTGGAGTCACCCAGCAGGCAGTGACACCATCCACGGGGCCTGTAGCGCCCCCTATAGCTGGAGGGTATCTATACGGGGGACACGGTCCTGCGGTTTAACTCGTCCTCTGGTTGCTCAATCGTTAAGCAGCTCGTTGTTTTCCTCCACAAACACACACACACACACACACACACACATTGTATACACATACACACTGTCCTCCTGTCATCCCTCTCTCCTGATGGCGGGGCGATGTTCAGAGTGAAGAAGAGGAGGGTTGTGGGTCGAAGGAGAGGTGTTACCAGTTCATCATGGAGCTTCTGTTAAGGGTCATGAAGAAGACTTGGCTGCTGCCTCCAGAACGCACCGAGGCGAAGAAAACCTGAAGGAACGAGACAACAGCGTCAGCCTGAACCCACACCTGTTTATTTTAGCACATATTTCAGTTTGGTGACTGTTAGTGGACACTGTGGGATTTCAAATAAAAGGCCAATATCCACTTCTGATACAGACAATATGATGGAGTTTACGTACTGATTGTAAAACTCTTCTCTCCTCTTCTATGGAGTCCGCCATGTTTCTACTTTTTCATGACCATCTATCAAAATCTGCTGTTTTCACTGGTAGGGAATTCCCTGCAGTCGGTGCCTCATTTTTAAATGTTTTGAGGAGTTTTCAGACTCACCTTGTCGTTCCTCTCCGACAGGAACTTCAGTCGCTGAGCTCGCTTGTGCATGAAAACTCCGTCGAGGTGTCCCGTTTCCACGGAGCGGATCTCAATGGCCTTCTCTCCCCAACCCATGATCTGGTTGGAGTGGAATGTTAGGCTGCAGGGAGAGGAAGAGGGTATACTGACACACACACACACACCACAACAACACACACACACAGCTACACACACACACATACACCACACACACACACTAGCGGCACACAATCAAACACACACACACGGAGGGGGATTGGACAGGAGAAGACTCAGCACCAGTCTCACACCCAAGCCAGTCACACATTGAGGCCTCCTCTGCCTCACCTCCGGGAGGAGATTATTGCAGCAGTTTCTGACTGATTCGAACGATCACGATGAGCTCTTCATGTGAGAAGAAGCTTTGGCGTTGGGAAAAGATGTCAAAGCAACAGATAACAGGCTGCTTGCTGGGTTTCCACTGATCGGTTTGATGTCAGTTATTGATTTAAATGAATCATTTTGAGCACCATCGACCGATGCTGGTGGTCTGAATGCGAGATGATGTTACGCACACGCAACAGTTTCTTGAACAGCTTCAGTGAAAAGTACGGCGGGCTTTTCTGGAGCTGCTTCACAATAAAATCCTCATGACGATTCACTTTTAATCTGAAGCATCAGCAGCAGGAAAAGTTTGGTTACAATTAGCAGCTTCTTAACACATAAAACTACAGTTTCGACAGCAAAGGAGAGCAAAAAAAAAGTGAAACTTTTAAAAATGTGCCTTCTCTCTCATCTGCAAACGTTGAGCCAATTAGTTTGTTGTTTTGGCACTACATGGCCGGTAAGCACAGAAATACGAGTAAAGACACCTCGCCAAGCCACGACTAAACTGTCCGATACCAAACCAGTGGAAAACGGTCAGCAGAGAGGGTTTTTTTGCTGAGGAAGGGGGTCAACCAGTGTGCGGAATAAAGCGCGGCGACGATGCAGGTTTTATGGTTTGTCTGGGAAGGGGGGGCTGAGGCCGGGCTTGGCTGTGAGAAACTCTGGTCTGACAGTAAAATACACACAAACGTGTTAACAGGAGATGATGTCCACACACACAGAACACATACAGTAACCACCAGTGCTTCAGGACACAGACGCAGTCAGTCAAACATACATGTTTAAATCAATCAGGATATTATACACTGACATCTGAGAATCAGAGAGCGAAGGCCGAATGGAATAACACAGAGGCTTTGATTGACTCAGATCACAAGATCCAAGATCCATCCTTGATGTGCGTCTGTGAGTCTGCTGTTTTCTTCATGTGGTTTGACTGAGTGTGTACTCATAAGTAATAGATTCATTTACTCTGCTGTGATCTCAGGCAGAACTTCGATCTCGCTTTAAGTCGGCCGAATTTCACAAATATCTTGTTTGGTTTTAGAGTTATTTTAGAGCTCATGCAATCAAGGATGAAAGTGAGAATGGATGAGAAATTCCTTTTTGAAATATTTCACAGATAACAGTCATACAGAACAAGAGGACAGAACTCAACACAGCAGACAAACAACACACAAGCATTTCCCCCAATGCACAGGATAAAAAAAAAACCGCAAAGATATACTGTATATAAAAAAAGGAGTGTCCAAAGTAAAAGATGTTGTGTGTGAGTCTATATATAAAGACTGAGGTGGGGTAGAGGGTAGAGGTAATGCTCTGTGTCAACTCATGCAGCAGATGGATGTTCAACACTTGACATTAAAGAGATACGTTGAGTTTTTTGGGTTGTCGTTCTTTGGTCAACTCACCTGTCAAGTGATGAGAACATTGACACCAAAACCCTCCATTCAATTTGTCCAATTGGGTCCAGTCCACTTTGGTTTATCTTATAATGAACATTTACAGCCTCACAAAGCTGCTAGCGTGGCTGTAGACAAATATTAGTTAAAGAACCAGTTTGTAGGATTTAGTGGCATCTAGCAGTGAAGTTTTAGATTGCAACCAACTGAATACTGCTCACCTTCCACGTATTTAGGAGAAACTATGGTGGCCATGAAACTCTCTATCAAGTGTAGACCTATCGTGGTGTCACCCATTGGTTTGTGGAGTCCTGTTTTGAAGCCTCAACTTTGGCTTTATTGATCTGAGTTTGGTGCGTTGAGCTAGACGGACTCACTGAGTATGAGCTGTCAATCACAAGGTAGCCCCGCCCTAAAGCATCCCCTGCTTTATGGTCTGTTTTACTCTAAATGGGACCATCAGTTACTAAATGAACATCATGCTGTATGGAAGAAGACTGAATCTAGAGACTGAGACCATAAACTCATCAGGAAACTGTTTTACTGGGCTCATAAATCAACTGAGCAGCCTCATGTCTCCATAAGACTCAATACTATCAGACTTCTTTGTGCTTTGTTTTGGCTTCACTTCACAGATACTGATGAGATTCACAATAGTAAATGTATATTTTTATTAATGGACCATATATTTATTATATTTCTGCCAATAGAAACTAATTGTTTCACACTGGACCTTTAATAACTAAATTTAAAGAACCCTTTGGATATGTGTTAATGTTAAAATATGAGAATTGGCTTTATCATCTGATTTTTTTAAATCTTCAAATATCCATATTGGTATTTGCCTCAAAAAGCTGATATTGGACTATAATGAGTGAGGACTCCTGACGCAGTGACATATTTTATGGATATTTCATATTATATTGATTGATTTGGATGAATTTTGAGAAGATTATTTCCTGTTAAGGAAACTTTTTATCCAATTCTGTCCGTATTATGTATTTTTTAAATAATTTTTAACAATCATACAGACTTAATAGGCTTCTTTTTTAACAGATTCTGTGTTTTCTTATCCCTGATGTTTTTCTCAGAAGTGAACCAAATGCTGAGGTTTAAACCTACTGTGTATATATTTTAATTTCGTTTACTTACACGCCATAAAGTCAAGAAAGCCTCATGACCTCCAGGTCGGGAACTACTGCTATAATCCACGTTAGCTCGTGCTAATCTTTCCCCTCATTTACTTTGCAGCATTCACCACTCATTCAAAAAAAACACAAAGCCCCCCAAGCAGGTTCTTATCAAGTGATGTCATTCAACATAGTGTTTATGAAAGTGTTAGCGTGAAGGAACAGCGCCATCAGCTTCACATTGGATTGGTTTTGGTCCCCGTTTTCATCACTTTACCCAACAGAGTTGAGGTTTTGTTCAACGCCCCAAAAACCGTCTGTATTCCTTTAAGCAGTTAATGAAACAGGTGAAACTACAGTTCTTTGGCTTCTTGTTTTGAAGGTGTAACTGAAAGCAAAAAGGCAGAAGGAGAGAGAAGAGTGTTGCTTTGAACGGAGAAGTGGTGGATAGTAGTGAGGGTGAAAAGATGATCTGCTGAGACCGCTTATAGAGGTCTAGAGGTCAGGGGTCAGGGAGAAGCGAGCTGATTGGTTGACGTACCGACGGAGGTGGGCATCTCGCCCCACTGCAGCACCACGTCTTTGGTGATGCGTCCGTAGGTGTTGACGTAGACGCCCTCGTCCTCGTAACACACCAGCAGCTCGATGCCGTCGGTGTTGGGCAAAATGATGATGGCATGGCACTGAATGCTGGTCTGGATCTGACGGAGGAAAAGGAGGAAGGGTTAAGAGAGTAAGGAACGTTTCAAAAACAAGGTGCAATCAGACTGCGCTGAGGACTTACATGTGTGGGCAGGTAGATGTCGTAGACGGCACCGGAGTCCACATCCACAGCATGGAAGCCTGAGCAGGAGCCGTAGATGACCTTTAACCTCTGACCTTCCTCAACAGTCAGGTCCACCAGCAGAGGCTTGTGCACCAGGTCACCAAAAGACTAAAGCCAAAAATAAATAAGTTAGTCAACTTGCACAGACCTGGCGACATCAGTCTTTGGTGGGTGTAGGTGGATCCATGCTGCTCACCTTAAAGGCCATGAATTTGTGGTAGGGTTTGGGTGCCCAGGCGTACACCTCCACAGCGTTCTTCAAGGCCAGCACCAAGAACTTAATCCTCTCGTACTTCACTGCAGGGAAAAGGGAGTCATTCGTGAGTGACTGCGTCGCTCACAACAATCCCTGGTCAGGTTTAACCCTCTCTTTGTGTGTATTTTTATTTATTTCATGGACAAGGTTAACGTACCGACTTTGTAGTGGACGCAACCCTCCAGGTCGCCTACGTTAACCCAACCCTGCTTCTTCTCCACCTCAGGGTCGTTGTGCAAAATCTTGTTCCTGAGCCACGACAGGTAATACACTCGCAGCTTGTTCTTTTTACCTGCAGATGGGAGGAGAAAGAAAATAAAAGATGCATCTAAGAAGTGACAGCAGCAATAGTCCAACGAATAAAACCACCCACCCTTTACTCCAAATCTTCATCACTGCTTGTACATTGTTGAAAATGGATCAAAAACCAGCATTTGTGTTCATCAGCGTTATGTGTGCTGTACCTGAAATGGTGACCAGGACATTGAGTCCCTCCAGGACATCCATCTGCTGGATGCGCCGTCTGTTGATCAGGGGGTAGACCTTCCCCTGACCGCTTCGGTCGAGCAGCATCAGACCGCTCTCTGTCCCCACCAGCAGGTTCACTCCTGCAGCAGTCACACACAAACACCCACAGTTGGTAGAGTTCTGATGGATTACAGGGTAGAATAATCACAATGAAGCACCCTACTGACTAGACTCACCCCAGAGTGCGGCACACAGGATCTCAGAGTTGAACCTCTTCTTGTACTTGCGAATCTCTGGCGTGTCGCTCGGCGGGCGTGTGTTCACCGGGTTGACGTTGACCACGGAGCCTTTGCGGGATGGGTCGGACCTCAGCGGGTCTGCAAGCCGTCCGTCCTGCCCGAATGCTGCTGAAGGAGAGGGCATAGAGGTGGTAGAGGTCAGGCTGGATGCCACCATGTAATTCAATTATCAACGTATATGGGACTAAGCTGCAAATAACTTGACTTAGCTCAAATGCTTCAACATAACGTTTTTTTTTTACTTTTTATCAGTGCCTGAATAATGTGTGACACTGCTCACTCTCCCCAATGGAAAGGAAAGGCATCCATCTGTCTTAACTTAATTTAAGTTAAGTTTTAATGACTTATTTGTGTTGACTTACCCATGTTGTTGAGGGAGCTGCCGCTGGATGGAGAGATCTGGAGAAGACGAGGGTCAATGAAGGGAGTGAAGGAAGAGGAAGACTTGTGTTTGGACATGGAGTTGCTTTCTGACTGGGACTGACAAAAGATTTAAGACAGTTAGGAAACTGAGACTTTTAACTTGTGCTTAACCTGCATTAAGATTTGTTACAGTTGTAATTTATAAAACTTAAACTACAATCGCAACTTCAGTTTTCTAACCTATGAGTTACAGTTCTGTCACTTCTAGGGGCTCATAAAAAAACATTTGGCTTAACTGCGTTTAATCAAACCACATTTATTATGACACAAACAACTGGGAATACATAGTTGGCACTGCAATTCAATTTGTTTGCCACAAATCAAGTAAAAAAAACAAAACAATGATGTGCAGTTATGTTATGTTAGTTGTTCTGAAGCCAACGAGGATAGACACGTTAGAGAGGAAAAAACAAACATGTGCGACATGAAGAAATGTGTTGAGGGAAATGAGAAATGATCCAAACACGAGCTGCTGTGAAGTGTTAGAGGAGAAAGCCGCTACTAATAAAGCACAGAATTATGAATTCCACCACCCAAGATATATATTGTTGTTTGTCGTGTCACACTGCGGAAGAGACGGTAATCTATATTAAACAACTTTAAAAATAAATGTGATTTCTTCTCATTAAAGTAGGTCACACGTGCATCCCATATTTGGCACACTGAAAATTTAAAGATCCCCTCCAGACCTACATGTCTGCTTGGAACAATAATGTGTGTCTGATTAGGTTTTTCTAGCAAAAAAGTATAATTTCCACATCATTTCAGCAGATAAATGTGAAAACATCCTTCTAGTGTCAACCTCTGCACATACATAATTCTGCACAGTGAAGATCAAACA